ATTGTTGTTGTTGTTGTTATTGTAATTACTATACTATTGCATTAAACTTAATATTTCATGTGGTAAAAGTTTTTTTTTTTCATACTTTTGGGTGTCTTGCATGGATTAATTTGGTTTCCATTATTTCTTATGGGGAAAATTGATTCTCTTTCCGATATTTTTGGTTTACGATGAGCTCTCGGGAACGGATTAGTATCGTGAACCGGGGGTCCACTGTACGTATTTTATGAAGAAGAGGATAAATAAATATTCAAGGTATGATATAGCACGTAATGAAAGTAGTTTCAGATTATGCATTGGTGGATAAAAGGTTGATGGGTAGGCTCCAGGATGTACACGTTTATAGAGGGGCATCTGATATATCAGATCATTATTTAGTTGTAGCTATGGTTAGAGTAAGAGGTACATAGGAAAAAAGGAAAATGGCAACAAGAAGTAAGAGGGAGGTGAAAGTGTATAAACTAAAGGAGGTGGAAGTTCGGGTGAGATATAAGCAACTATTGGCAGAAAAGTGGGCTGGTGCAAGTATGAGTAGTGGGGGGAAAGGGTTGAAGAGGGTTGGAATAGTTCTAAAAATGCAGTATTAGAATGTGGGGCAGAAGTTTGTGGTTATAGGAGGGTGGGTGCAGGAGGAAAGAGGAGTGATTGGTGGAATGATGAAGGGTGTGATAAAAGAGAAAAAGGTAGCTTATGAGAGGTATTTACAAAGCAGAAGTGTTATAAGAAGAGTAGAGTATATGGAGAGTAAAAGAAAGGTGAAGAGAGTGGTGAGAGAGTGCAAAAGGAGAGCAGAAGATAGAGAGGGAAAGGCACTGTCAAGAAGTTTTAATGAAAATCAGAAAAATTTTTGAAGCTAAACAAGTTAAGAAAGCCTAGGGGATGAATGGATTTATCAGTTAAAAACAGAGTAGGGGAGTTAGTAGATGGGGAGATGGAGGTTTTGAATAGATGGCGAGAATATTTTGAGGAACTTCTAAATGTCGACGAAGAAAGGGAGGCAGTAATTTCATGCACTAGCCAGGGAGGTATACCATCTTTTAGGAGTGAAGAAGAACATGTGAGTGTTGGGGAGGTGCTTGAGGCATTACGTAGAATGAAAGGGGGTAAAGCAGCTGGAACTGACGGGAACATGACAGAAATGTTAAAAGCAGGGTGGGATATAGTGTTGGAGTGGTTGGTATTTTTGTTGAAGAAATGCATGAAAGAGGGGAAGGTACCTAGGGATTGGCAGAGGGCATGTATAGCCCCTTTATATAAAGGGAAGGGGGACAA